ATTAATAATAGTTTACTAAACTAATTCATTGTTTAAACCTTAAGTTTAAAGTCTTATGAAATGTATATTAAATTATATAATGCTCACAATATATAGAATAACTCAAAACACAAAAACAAACAAATATTTGATGGTATTTCAGTATGCTAATGATGAGGGTCTTCATAAATATTTAAAAAAAAAATTAATATGCTTACATGGCAAATACTTAAAGATATTTCAAATAAGCTAGATAATATTCACAAATGTGCATACATTTATGCTGATTTTTATAGTGGTAATATTTTGCAAGACCAACAATCTTATTTTTCTAAATTTTAAAATAAAATTTTTTACCAAGTATCTGGGTTGTGAGATAATAAAATTTTTTTTATTAAAAAATTTTTTTTAAAAAAAAATTAAAACCAGGTTGGCGGGTCATGGGAGGTCAGTTGGTGATATGAAAACCAAAACTATAAGTTTGTATAGCCTAAAATATGTATTCTTAAACAAGATTTTTTAAATTTAGTTTCAAATATTGAATATTTGCAAAAAAATCAAAAAGATGAAATATCTAAAAAAATTATTGAAGATTCTGAAACTATAAATGAAAATTTTGAAAATATTAGTAAAAATAATATATATAGTGGTATTTAAAAATTAATATACAGTATATAATATAATATATATTTTAAATTATATATTTATAATTAATTAAAATTATTATATTTAAATTTATAGAAATTAATTTTGCAACTAAATTACAACTTCTTACTTTAGTAATTTATAATAAACAACGAAAATTTAAAAATAATCCTGAATATAATTCAATTAAGTTTAAACAAATATTAGAACAAAATGAATCTAAATTAACTGGATTTTTTAATGAATTAGTTGGAGGTCTTATACCAAAAACAAGAAGTTTTTATAATCAAGAAGAAGCAAAAAAATCTATTGTTTCATTTTGTTATCTTTTTGCTGATTTAAGAAATAAATTTGCAAATAGTTATAAATTAGATATTGGACTTCATTTAGCTTTAACAGGAACTTCATATAAAGGTATAGATATTTTATCAAATACTGGACTTATAGTTTTATCTAAATCTGTATTAAGATATAAACAACAAATTGTTGAAGATCATTTTGAAAAGATTTGTAAATATTTTAATGATAATATAAGTTATTTTTATTTAATTTCAATAATATTATTATAATATATAATTTATTAATTTATATTTTATAGATAAATTATTTAATCTTGATGATTATTATTCAATTTATGAAATATATAAACCAGATAATACTTTTTTATCTTCAACTAAACATTTTGCAATATGTACGGCTAAAAAAGTTGATTTTTTTCAATGCCTATTTTAGCTAATTATAATAATATTCCTTTATTTAATCCAATTAATATTGATGCTCATAATCTTTGTAAACGTTTAAACCAAATATATAGCTCACTTTTTGATATAAGCTATAATAATTCAAAGTCTCAATGAATATTTTATTCAACTCTTGAATTAGATAAATTTGAAAATATAGCTAATTTAACAATTCATTTATATGAAGATGCTATTTTAGAATATAAAGAAGAAAGATCAATGAAAGATTTACAGCTTGTAGATTTTAAACAAACAGAATTACACTCATTTAATAATTATGCTAATGCTCTTAAAATAATTATTAAGGTTCCTTCACTTAATAATTATTTAAAACAAAATGTAATTCCAATAATTACAGATTGGCTAGGACAATTATTTATTAAAAAAATTATTACATATTTAAAAATCCAACAATCAGCAGCAAATATTCTACAAGTTTATAAAAATTTTTATCCAATTATTGGTCCTCTTCATGTTGTATTAAATAGTAAAGAAATAGCATTAATAATTAATTATGAATTTTTTTTTAAACAACTATTATTTTATTTTGTATTCGGTAATAAAAAAAAAATTAGCTAAAAAACCTAAACCTTGGCGAATTAATCTTTTATTAATCTTTTATTAGAATTAGCACATAAAGTATGACAAAAAATTAAAAAAAATTATTTGGATTATATTATAAAGAAATTGAATATAAAATGGCTATTGATTTATTAGATAATATAATTCCTGCTACTTTAGATATTTATGCAATTTTATTTAGATCTGGTTCATTTATGGAATATACAGAAACAATTTTTAGAATTTGGATATTTGTACTAAAATAGTCTAGAAAAAATTATAATAAGGCTCCTTTAGCTTTTCTCTCAGATGTTTTTTATTAAGAAGATAATAATCATTCTTTTAATGAATCTATTAAAAGTTTTTTTTTTTTTTTTTTTTTTTTTTTTTTAATTTAAGGATGTGGCGACTTAGTGAAGTGGTCTAGTTGTCACCCCGCCAAGTAGCAGGTTGAGAGTTCGAATCCTACAAACGACAATTTTCGAATTTAATCCTGTGTTATGGTGACTATTGTCCGTATCGGGGAAAAATACCTGTAACTCGTTGGCGTACCAAGGATCGGTAATACCGGGACCTAAAAGATTTGGGGCATTGTGCAACTCTAGTATGCCGGGGAAGTACAAGAAATGCTAGCCGGTTAAATGCGATACAAACCCATGATAAGTCCAACAGATCGACGCATATGGGGATGATTATCGGATGATGGAAGTCTACTTGGGAAGTCCC